TCATGATGCGATGTAAACTTCTTTGCAAAGTTATTTTCGGGTTCAGTTCTCACCTAAGAAAACCATCCATGTGCGATCACTGATGGCGAAGAAAACCAGTGAAAGGCATTGGGACACCATGCCAACTCTTATAACGTTTATCTCGCTCATGAACTTTTTCAGAATTCCGATTCCTGCGATGCCACCAAAACCCTGCATGAAGAATCGGAATGCCATAAACACCCCTAGCGTGCCTGGTCCCCAGCAAAGTGGAGTGCGAAGGACAAAGAGTGACACTACTCCGCTGATACCCATAACACCTAAAGTGATTATCCCATCCGAGACGAGAAGCATGAGCAGGTTTTTTCTTCCGCCGTTTCTTGGCTTCTTGTACACACTCCATACTGCTTTAAAGCTATCGAAGCTGAAGAAGCGGAGCCTTTTTTTCTGACTTTCTTGTTTTGATTCCGGTACCATGAACGCCCCCCAGAGTAACCCGGCCACGTGACAGGCAAAAATAAACCAATAGGGAGGGATGAAACCCAGTTTGTTCAGCCAAGCACCGCTGGTCAACTGGCTCACAACTCCGCCAATGAACACCACTAACTGGATAACAGCTAAAACAAAAAAGATCGAGAATAAGAACAAATCTCTCCAGCAAAAGACAGCCAAATGACCTGCAAGAAACACGACTTATATTACTACTCCATAAAATGGATATAAAAGCTGAGGACTGCTACCCTGGCTGGTAATTCCTCAACAACGCACCATACTGTTAACCAGTTTACAAGAATTTGACTGAATTTGCTGTCAATTTACCGTACAATTTCAGCGAACTCGATCTTGTGGACTGACATGCAATCTAGCTAACCCAATCCAAACCGACGAAAGCCGCTTACAATACTCACTGCGGGCTTAGCGTCTCGAAAACGAAAGCAGTTCGTCTTCCGATCGTTCCTCGATCGGAAAGGTTCACATGTCGACCATTGTCGCGTCAAGGGTTTCAAGAACGCGATTGAATATAACATATCTGCAATGCAAAAATCTTTTCCAGTGCTACATACCTTCTCCCCGCATGAATATGAGCCCACAGATAAGCAAGGAAGAACAGCGGTATATGCCTATTCACGCAAGGCGCTGATACATTCGTAACCATGACCTCTCACTCCCCACCCCCCACCCCCTTTGAAACATCCTAGCTAAGCCTCTGGCCAGTCGTGGAATTAGTTTTTGCAATTTGTAGGGTAGTAAAGTAAAAGCAAATCAGTTATGGTTTCGCTTTAGCTTTCAAAAATAGACAAGAAATATTAACTAACCGATGTGAATGGCGAGTCCTTCTTCGGTTGTTATATCCGAAACATACGCAAATGCACCCATGTTCATGATTGTAAAGAATCCAGAGAAGCCATTTATCGCCGAGCCGACAAACAACACATACACTGGCCAATCCAGGTACATTATAAGCAGGACAGTGATAGCCTCTAATGCGCTTCCAAGGGGAGGGGCTACTATAGCGGGACGTCTTCCGCCGGTGTCGGTCCAAGGACCCAAAAGAAGGACCATTAGAATGGACGGTAGAGATTGAAAGAGGACATTTCCCATGTCAACTCTAGACGCCATGGTTTGCACCTAAAAGATAAGTATATAAGAAAAGAATCGCATCATTGCATTAAATCTCGCTTTCTGATTGGTTAACGAAGCGATGTATTCAGAGTGAAATTGCGAGTTGAAAACGAGGCTAAGTGATATTGTTTCGCATCTACGTGTACATAACAACTATAAGTAATACTGTTTTCTTTTCTTTTTTTTCTCATTTTTACTCAATTATGCGATTCAATCATCACTTGACTCGCGAATTCCGCGTCAAATTGCACTTAAAACGGATATCGCACTCACCACTTCGCGATACGTGCGATATATATCGGTTTTCGCGTGCAATTTAAGGCGGAATTCTCTCTTCAAGTAATGAATTTCCCTATAGAAGCATAGATGGGGGCTATTCGTCTACAAAATCGCCCCCCCAAAGAAAATATTTAGAAAGAAAAGCCCTAATAAAATTGTAGAGAAAAGAAGAACAAACAAAATTTTATTTCTCGTGGTTTGTTTTGTCTCGTTTGGCTTTTCTCTCAAAAGGACTGAAAAAAAAAAAACAAAAAACAAGAAAAACAAAAACAGGTAAAAAAGTAGATATGACTTCATCACATTTTCAAGTACTGTAGTCTTGTGTAATAAAAAAAAAATAATTCAAAAATTCTCCAGCCTGACACAAAAAATGAAGACCAAACGAATTTGATCCTGTTGCTTCCAACCTCTTTTTCCAGCTCCTCCAAAGACGTACCGTTTCCACCAGAATCTTCGACACATCCTTTTTCTGAAGTTTCCGATATGTTATACGGAAATCCCTTAAACTCACTGACTCTGAAGTAGATATACTGTGTCATAACTGGGAGACTCATGAATAAACCAAATGTATAAAACAGTACGACTGGTTCCACTGTTAGGTAACGTCTCCATCTTGGCAAATTCAGATTCGGCATTGTGGTTCTTTACTAAACACTAGAAATCAAAAGCATTTGTTAATAACGTTGATTTAAGAAAACAACGATGCTTCCTTGAGCGGGCTACGCCTCCAGAAAATAATGAAAAAAAAAATACTCTTACCCAATAAAACTGCAATATACGTCAATCTCTTAATTTCTATTGATCCTTACTCCTTAAAGCGTTCACCAAACCAAGCCAAACAACTATTACAAGTTTATCATAGTTCCAAGAGATTGCCTTTTAGACATAACAAATCCAACATTACTCAGCATTTCGCATGCTATTAACAACTACTGAATTTGGCTTTTTTTTCCCTCCTTTATATTTAGCCCCTGATTATTTCAACCGGATTACGTTATTTTATTTACATATCAAAAATTATCATGCGCGAATCAAACCAAATCTACAGATGAACACCACTCAACCAATTTACGAAGAAAAAAAAAAAAAAACTTTGGGCCCTTTGGCAGCGGATTTCAAGTATTTTTTTTTTTTTTTTCCGTGACGATTGTTGCACCATCATTCATTCCAACTTTTTGCGTCACTTTAAGACTTGGAGTACCAATTGACCAATTGCAAGGCGTGGAGAGGTTAAAGCGAACATTCAGCCCAATATATGGTCATTTAGCTCAGCAAATTAAATTCAGTAGAGAATTAAAGAAGCGACGTGGTTTTATTAATAAATTAGATTAATAACTTCGAAGATGCTTAAAAATAGAAATTGCTCTACAATAGTTTAATAAGTCACGTTTCCGCGTGACATTCAAAATTGAATTCACAGTTACGCAAGAGCGAATCCTGAAAACTCTTCACTATACTAAAATAATGAAAAGTTTCCTTTGAACAGCTAATATATATATATAAAACCATGAGAAGTTTCTCATCTTAAGTATGCAATTTCAGGAACACCCGCGCTTTCATCACTAATTGCGTGACAATAACCCAAACAGTAGGGGACATTTTTGCAGCACCTTGCAACAATATGCAAATGTGCACCCGTGGGAAAGACAACAAACTTTGTCCTAACGTGTCTAGTGTATTTGAGAAACGAAGACAAATAATACATTATGACACGTTCGATATTTTCCATGTCGATAAAATTTAGGTATGGCCTGTTCATTACTAGTCTAGTACTAGGCCCTACCAGTACTAAAGGCTGATAGTTTCTAAAGAAACTGTTTGGGGCTGCGTCGGTGGGGGTAACGAAATAATTTGGATATATCAACAAAGTTGAAATGGTAAATTGGCCACCGTAACGATTACAAAAGCTGACGTTTCGAGCGTTAACCCTTCGTCGGAGCTAATGGAGGCCAATTTACCATTTCAACTTACCAGTACTAGTCGGTCGTTCACACGAATTGTAATTGCTTAAATGCGATCGCAAATAAGAAATTGGGCAGTCTGTTAAAAACACTTTTCTGGTTAAAAAAATAAATAAAAACTGAGGCACATATAGGTACAAACAAACAAAGTTCTGCAGGCGTTGTCAACGTCGCACCGCGTTTGGTACGGTTCGCCACTCCGTCGAGCATGTCCCTCCGCAATCCAAACTTGGGGTCCCGAATTGAAATTAGGTGTATCTCTCGCGAAACCAAATTCGAAACGTCTTCAAATACCTCCCTTTATCTTATAATGAACTAGAAGCTTAACTAAGAAGGTGCTTGTCTAACAAGCAGAGCATGACTCCAACCAGTGAGGCGTTAACTATCTACAAATTTGCAACGAACGAATAAAGGCTGGGTGGAGAGAAGTCGAATTAATGCCGTGACAACCAAGGCAATATTGAACGCAAATTGTTCACACACAAATTAAACCTAAAATCTAAAGTGCATCTAACCTCTTTCTTTAATCTGTCTGTCTAGGTCAAGTTACTTGATCTTTAATTTCCTTTAGAAGATGAAGAATGTTTCGTAAAGGATTGTATTGACTCCAAAAGATCGCAGAATCTTCCTCCACAATTGCACTCTTCGCGGGTCTACGCAACACCTTACAAGTCACGCAATCACCCTTCATTCTAGTAGGGTGGGGTGGGGGCTTTCGTAACGCTATGATTGGTGTTTTGATTACTGTGGCAACAAATACTTGTACCAACATAGTTAATTTTTTTTGCTATTTTGGTCATTTCGTCAAGTACATTCCTCTACGATGCTTTCAACATCGCATGGGAATATGCGGTGAGTAATATTACTCACTACGTACTTCCCGTGCGATGTTCCCGTACTAGAATCTTGAAAGATACAAGTACTTTGTACCAACATTAGTGATTATTGTGTGACTACTGAATGACGTAATAGTACTGTTATCATGTAGGATGATTGTAGTGGATCGATAGAGAGTTGATCTTTGACTGTATAAAGTATTGGAAGACTGAGTGCCTCCTTACTGACTGAGCCATTAAATGAACACATAACACAAAGTCAAGAACGAAACCAAGTACGTCTGCTCCGGGTAAAGAGATTTATGTTAATCCAAAACAAAACTCAAAACTTTCTCAATAATAAGTTGCTATGCCTTTTTTTATTTTTTGTGTCTTAAACATTTCAAAAATTAATTGACTCTCTCATATTCTTGATTATAATAACAAATATTTATCTATTTATTCCAAATGACTTCTCCTCATGTTCTTCCTTATGTTGGCTCCTCTACTTGAATTTAAATTTCATTTTTCTATCGTTGAATGATCACTATGGGCTTTTCTTCTTTTTTTTTTTCGCCGTCATTTGGACCGTTATAACTGCATCGTTTTAAAAATAAAATATCCTTTTCAGTATCTAATTTCCTCTTGCTTTAATTACATCAATCATGATTTCCCCTTTCGGCTTTCATTAGACATGTGGAACAAACTCTTCGCCTTTTTCAAACGAGTAGAAGCAACGCAATTAACCCGTGCGGGGAAGTGAAAATTTTCCTTACCCCTCCCACTTTCATTGCACTGTCACGCGACTCTAGTATGCCCACAAAAGATAGGTCACGTGCGGACTGGAGTTGTGCAAGGTTACTCCGCTACTTTTGACATTTCTGAGTCCGACATGACCGCCGCCCCAAGAAAACTCTGCCAATCATTTACAACTGTAACCAGAGCCTGCGAGCAAGCTCTCATTAGAGCTGCGAAACGAGTAACAAATTAAAGCATGCGAGAAGTCTGGGAGACTCTGGCACGAAAATTGCCAGATCACTTGGAGACCTCTTGCACGCTCGCCTTGCTCACCGGCTCGAAACCCGCAGGCTTCCCAGCTGGTGTCGTAACACTAACGAAAGCCTGCTCGCAATAGTCACAGTCTCATGCCTCGCTTCCAACCCCACCCTTGCATCTAGCCTTAGTAGTATGCATATAATCTGTTATAAAATTTTCATGATTCATTTGAAGATTAAAAAAAAAACAACCATATTGCTACAGTATCAAAAGAGCATCGTCCTCCTTCAAGAAACTGTAGGGATGATGGGGGAATCGTCGGGAACATATATACCAGGGGAGTCGGGCTCATAAGGTTCTTCTTCTTCGTCTTCTCTATCCTTTGTATTTTCACTGTTGATCTTCCTTCTCCGCGTAAACATTTCTTGATCCCTCAAACAACTTGAAGGTAAAAATAATGAATCATTAACTTGTTACAAACAGTGTTCGTGAAGAATATGAAACATTTCCAGTATCTTCTGTTTACGGGTAAACATACGTGTGGATGAAAATATATACATATATATATATATATATTTTTTTTTTTTTCGCGGTAAAACGGAGCAAAATAGTAAACGGCGCTATAATAGCTGAGGATTAAAAACGAGGGAGGTTTGGGTCGGGTTGGGTTCACTACGTGCCCAACCCAAGCCTCCCTGGGTTTTTTTCGCTATCGTTACCTATTCTCTTTGTTTACCAACAGAATGCTTGAAACAGGCTACAAGAAGGTCTACATGTATAGTTTTCCTTTTTCGAAATAAAAGCGCAGCTCACCTCTAAACGTCTCACATTCCAAGCGGCATAAATAGTAAGAGGGTGTCAATTTTCGAGAATTTTATTGGATAGGCAAAAACAGGAGAGTGAATTACGCATAATTCAATTTGATCATTTTTTGGCTTTCAAAATTGCTTTCAAGTTTCATAAATGTACGTTCTACTGACTTCTCGCTGAAATAATGCGGTGCATTTTAAGTGTACTGGAAGACTTCATAGAACTAAACAATCCTTGAAAACTTTGACGAAGATAATTTGATTGAGCGATATTCAATTGATCAGGCATTGTATTGAAGGTATAAACAATTTCAGTTATCTATAAGAATTTTCCCATCCCCTCAAACAGTAAGAAGCGAAACTAAAACTGATCACGATTGATTCACTCCTGTTTTACCGCGCTCAAGTTCTAATTGGGGTGGGGGGGTGCATGGGGCCACTTCGATTGCTACAGTATTCGTTTCACGAAGCCCAGTCTAAGGCACGTTACACCCCACTTCAGAAAACAATAATAGAGTGAGCCACGCCAACAGTAGTCTCCTTCGCAGCCGTCTTTCGGGATGTCACGCAACGCTCCCCCGAGGCGTGACATCCCGAAAGACGGCTGCGAAGGACGCCATGCCAACAGCTGAGTGGTAAATACCTGCTACCGAGTGGCCAAGAAATGCCAACTCCCGTAGACAATGCCTCACAAAGGTTACAAAAAGGTACAAAAATAACTCACAAGGTAGACAGAAGTGGTAACAGCAGCAAAGTGCCTCCCAGCACAAACACAAATCCCGGCATGTCGAATTTCAGAGATTTGGGGTATACCGAATTGAAAAGCGCAGTGCCCCCGAAAGTGCAGAGCATCTCTATGGAGGAAACAGTGGAAAATAATGACCCTGAAAAAAGATGGAAAGAACAAATTAATCAATACTTCACGGTAGAAATTTAGGATCTGAGTTAAGGAGAGCAAAGTGCATCTGTGTATATGTATGTGCGCCATGCCCCCACAAAGACCACGTTTGCATTTAAGGGCAAGTAAAGGAGTCAAAAAAGCGTACAAAGGATGTTAAATTGGGAGAATGAAAGGTTGTGCCTTAGAGAACTTGGTAAATCATCGTAAAAAAAAAAAAAAAAGAAACGTTCGTCCAAAAGTTTCTTCTAAGTGTTAAGTCTAGATCAAAGCATTGCAACTATAATGATGGCATCACTTTACCTTGATCGTCTTCGCTGACAATTTTTGACATCATAGCTCTGAGAACAGGCTGGCCTGCACCACCAAAGATACCAACTAAGGGAGCTAAAAAAAAAAAAAAAAAAAAAAAAAAAAAAAAAAAAAAAAAAAAAAAAAAAGCGAGGCCAAAAATTTGGTTTTGGAATGCAAGTGGGTATCATCACCTTAAAAGTTTTCAAACTTATTAAGATCACAAAAGATCCATGCATTTCCACTGAGCTAGGACCATGAAGGTAACAGCATGATTATTAACTTAAAATTTCTCGAGATGTGAACAGTTGTTCGTGTACTACTATAAAATCTGTTGATCGTTCGCTCGGAATATTCCTAATAAACTGAGATGTTGTGTAATTTGAAGCTTCCACCACTTCCGTGTGGTTTTGATAGAAAGCGGAAAAAATAGGTATATGCTAGCGCTTTTTTTTAAGAGCTCAAACATTTGTGGAGAGGGGGGCTCTCTCCAAAGGAGGACTCTAGGCGAATATGTCAGTGGGAATAAAAGCGGCCGGTAATCTTTAAAAATCACCTGGTTTATTGAAATACAAGTTAAATAGAAGCTAGTAAGAGCAATGTTCAATTGAGTGTCGAAAGTAACCCGAGTTCATATTGGTTTTCCTTTACTTCGCTCTGTGATTGGTCCAGAAAACTCACACCACTTTCATCCAATCAGGTTCAAAACTAAAACCAATCACGTTTTGGTCGCCCGTGTTTTCTCGCGCTTTGAGCAGTTTGGTTGTTGTTTGCTTTGAGTTCTCATTGGCTCTTAAAGGAATTTTTCTTTCTTCTGATTGGCCATTGTTTTTCATTTTGGTTTTCGTTTTACGACACTGAACCGATAAATGCTCTAATCGCAAGCAATAGTTCAGGCCATCCCAGCGTTGGTGCAAGATTTTTTGCATAAAAATTCGATTTAATTTGCGTGCGGTTTGCTTCACCTGGCCTTATTGCAGTCATTCCAAATACGAACGTATCAAAAGATCACTTTATTTAACAATGTTTGAAAGCGTTCGACACCACTCACCCATAAAAACCATGAACTCGTTGGTGGAAAATCCGAGGAAAATCAAAAATCCTATGTAGGACACTATGGCAATACGACTGACAACGGCATCTGGGAGACACATTCCTAACACCTTTATAGCTGACACTCCACCGGTTCCGTGCATAAATTGACGAAAGGCCAGGAAATATCCCACTAACATGGGCGAAAAACACAGCGGCGAGTGAAGGGTGTAAAGGTTCACTACGCCATTAATTCCCATCACAGCTATCGCCAGGAAACCATTACAAAACGTCAAAACCACTAGGTTTCTTTCCCTGCTGCCTGTGGCTTTGGCGTAAACCCTCCAGCTGGATTTCAAGTTCTGAAGGCTGAATAATCTGCCTGTGTTTTCACTGGATTTTGCGCGCGATTCTGGAACAAAGAAAATGGCGTATAGCACCGCGGCCATGTGGCAGCCAAATATGATCCAATAAGGAGTGATGAAACCGAGCTTCTCTATCCACAGTCCGCTGGTCAACTGAGCCACCATGCCGCCAAGAAATACTATCAGTTCGATAATACCTGTCATTTTGGAAACAAGAAAAAAAAAAGATAGGGTGACATTTGGAAATATGGGGAAATTTTGCATTTTGATTGGCCAACGAAGGAAAAGGTTACAAACTTCGACATGAACCAATGGTAATTACCAGGCCGAGATTTAGGCATGTAACCTAGAGCAAGTGTGACAACTTCAACAAAGTTCTCACCCTAAATACCAAGAGACGTGGGTTATATCATTGACTGAAGGCTTGGGGGGCATCAATCGGCTTTTCGTCTGGTGTAATCTCGAGCAAGTATGACACTTTCAACAAAGTCCTAATGCTAATTACCAGTAGACGTGGGGTATATCACTTACTGGAGGCTGGGGGGGGGATTAATCGGCTTTTTGTCTTTGCCTATTCTGTTGTAGTCTGGTGCATGTATTTAACAATTGGTGGAAGATACTCCATGAAGGTTATCTGTCAGTCTTTCTAGGAGTATAACCCTAACTCACCCAGCCGCAGGGCAATTCTCGACTCTTCTGTTGTATCTGCAATATATGACATACAAGCCAAGATGATAGTTGTGTAATAACCACAAATACCGTGCACAAATCCACCAATGAACAAGCAGTAAATGGGCCATTTCAAGTACATAACTAGGAGAACTACAACAGCTTCTAATGCACTGCCAAGAGTAGGCAAGATCAGGGCAGGGCGTCGGCCAACTTTGTCTGTCCATCCACCCATGAATAAAGTAATGACAATAGATGGGAGAGCAGAGAACATCACAATACCTAGCTGGACATATGAAGCATCTGTTTGCACCTGTGGAAGATGATACATCATCACATAAGTAATTTCATAGCCTGAAGGTAGGCTGTCATTTAGTGGTGCTGTGGCACAAGCATTTTGCCCACAAGCAAGTTTCACCCTTAAACTCCCATGAGTGACCAAGAGAGAATTTCTCTTTACAATGTCAATCAGACAAGGGATGGGAATAATGAAAAATATAAATTAGGTGACTATTAGTTGATCAAATGCCAAATTCTCTGTTCTACCATCATAAGAATTGTATGGCAGACAATAAGGAGAATTAATAATTAGATCTTGGGAGTAAAAAGGGTTAAGGCCTTGAGCAGAGTAAGCGAGCAAGAGGCCTGCCAGGGGTCTGGTACAAGTAATTCCTGACCACTTGTAGACCTTGGGTAGTTCACTTTTGTTAGTTAACTTTTATCTATTTGCTCACGATACCAGTATAATATCTGCAAATAGCAACTTAAAGGAACTCGAATCTGTTGTTAATCGCGAACTTGGCAACGTCAACGATTGGCTTAAGGCCAATAAACTAGCTCTGAATGTGAAAAAATCAAACTTTGTAATTTTTAGCACCCCWMMAAAAAA